AACTACACAAGCAATGAGTCATTAAAATAGAACCCATTATGAATGACAATTTCTCATGCAATCAGGATGGATAAAAATCAATGATTTTTTTAAAAAAAATCTATTTGATTTAAATTACAATTTAAATTTTTTTATTTAAATCAACAAAAATAATCCAATTTCATTTATTTAAATTGTGATTCATTTATTTAAATTGTGATTTAAATCAAATAGATTTTTTTAAAAATCAAATCCACCTTGCATGTGATGCTCTACTATAGACTTATGCAGAAAGAGGAATGTGGAGAAATTCCCAGTAAGATGGTCTCCAAATGCCGTAAACAGTTATAATTAGGTAGAACAAATCTGTACAGTAGTTCTCCAATTCGAGTAGTTGTGGGGAGGGGGACACATTATATCTTCAACATACAAGATATTTCAGATTAATACAGTAGGCAAAACAGCTAATGCTATTGATTCTACTGAGGTCTTCTTAAAGAATTCTAATGAACATCTACCTAAGTTTTAATATTAGTTATAAGAAATATCAGTTGTGGTTATAGTGTTACAATGTATTATGCTACACTTTCTCCATAGAACACAGAGTAGCTAGGTAGCTTTTTCACACAACATTTTCCTCCATCAAAAGAAAATGAAAAAATTTCTGTGGTCCTTGTGCAAGATCTAAGAACAAAAGTGAATAACACTTCTATTAGACGATCAAAATCTCAGAAACAGTCCAGTTTTTGAGTCCTGAAGGATTCTTGGTCCAATAAAGTTATTATACATCCTTGGGTTTGGGTTCGCCTTCCTGAACACATCTTGATTCAGGAAACATGTAAAAATGCAAGTGTCAGACCATTCCCACATTTGAAATAACACATACAATTGCAAACCTGTATATAATAATTACATGGTGTCAAGTCATTTCTGACTTACTGCAATCCTTTCCAGGCTTTTCTAGGTATAAAGTACTCAGAGGTGGTTTACTATCCCCTTCTTCTGCGGGTGCTCTGGGACCATGCAGCTTGCCCAAGACCACACAGGTTGGCTGTTCTCCTGAGAGGTGTAGTGGGGAATCAAACGCTTTGACATCTGGCTCAGCAGGCAGGTGCTCCAGATCACTGATACTGTATATCCAGTCAGCTACTAAGTCTAAATACTTTCAGTAAAAGAAACTGTCACCCCATGCTTCAGGTACAATAATGTGTATGTATGCTCATGTATAAAAATGACATGTACAAGGCTTCCCTGCACATTGACAGAATATGTTTAAGAATTGTTACACCAAGTCGTTTGTTCAGCCTATGGGCTCTTTAAATTTGAGCTCTGAATGACTTGTCAAAATCCTGTTGGTGATTTACGTGTGTGCAAGTAAATTCTTAACTCACTGAAGAGAACTGCTGCTAACTAACAAGAGCCAACCACTTTACAAGGTGTGCCTCCAACTGAACAATGGACACATACCTGAAAATGTGACTAGTACCTTGTTTGTAACTGGCAATTTGTAATTTAACACGTACATACATAAATCACCAACAGCATTCTGGCCATATGTTTCTAGCTTTTACAACTGGCAAGACATGTTTTAATACATGTTAGCTGAAAAGGAAGATGAAAAACAAACAAGACAAGAGAATTCACTGCTTTAAAGAAAACAAACTTTCCTCTACCTTCCACTCCTGCCCATTTCTGACTTATGGTAAGCCTTTTCAGAGTTTTCCAGATAGAGAACATCCAGGAGTGGTTTACTAGTCTCTTCTTCAGGGGCACTCTGGGCTCAAGGTCACACAGGCTTCACTCTACTTGTGGAGGCACAGTGGGGAACTGAACTTCCAATGTAAAGCTACCGCAAATATGAGTGCTCACAAGATTAGATAAGCATTGGTGAAATGTAATCAAGCTAAAGGAAACCCCAAGGCTTGCAGAACTAAATAAAAAGAAGGAAACCTATTTAGGAAGCAAAACAAGAGTAAAACAAAAACCCAACAAAACCCAATTAGGACTAAGTGTGCTAGGTGAGTATCAAAGGTTGGGCAGGAGTAAAACACACAAAGACAGGAAATGAAATTTAGTATCATTAATGAGTCCATGGGTAGCTAAGAGGTTAATCTCACAACTTGAGCATTCCACACTGCAGAGTTCTGTTGCAGGTCTCATTTGCTACTACTATTATGAAGCAACACATTAAGATATGATTTATGATATTTTCTATACTTCACACTATAGTCAAAGGCCTAAAATTGAAAAAGTTATTACGTCTATAAAGGAAAAGTTTTACCAGTAGCACTTTTAAAAAGTAAAATTAGATGATGCGCATTATATTCTTAGTTTACTTTTGGTATTTGCATAATATTACCAATATTGGCTGAGGAACATACAAAAACTCTAAACATTGCCTTGAAGTGTATTAAGATAAGGAGTTTTACACGAAGTCTGCAGCACTCAGCATTTCTCTTTTAAAACAGTTCCCCTAAAAATGACTTCAAAACATTTCCCTAGTTTAAAAAAACAACAATATTCACATTTTGTCAAACAAACGTCAACTGCAGTACTAAAGCTCTATGTAACCTGTACTAAACTCAAGTAAGTGATATCTTAACTATGATTTGTGAATATTAACTACTGAGTTGCTTTCAGCAACTGCTGAGTTCTTCCAAAAAACACACTTGATCTAGCTGTTAGGTTCTAGTACATGATAAAAGAAGCAAACCAGCTGTTCCTACAAGTAGAATTCACTTTTAGTTAACTAAAACATAACAAGGAACAAGGAAATTTATTCCATCTAAAAATACTGTATAGAAATTAATCTAATTTACACAACTGTAGCAAAGGATTTTACCCCTAAACTGGGTAAAGACACAATGGAACATTTCATATCACGGATCTAATAAGTAAATTCCCACCAAAATAAACACCATTATTCTAACTAACTGTTCTGAGATTTAACACAGGGAGAAGATTTTCCAGTATTTCTGATTCCAAATGTTAAAAGTATTCAGTATACTGTGTTAAGATGAAACGCTTAACCCAATTATGGTGAAGTAAGCCCCAATGAAGTCAATTAGGCTTACTTCTAAGTAGATACATACAGGATTGTACTCTTCAACTATAAAGATTGGTAACATTCATGCATCTTTATATGTATAAAAGCTAACTACTTTATGTTATGCAGGACAAATGCTTCCTATTGCTTCTGCAGGAGCTCCTGGTAGTTTTTGATATTATGGAATTGACCTCTTTCTAAATTTTCAGGCTAGGATGCAGCTAGAAAACTGCTTCATACTAGCCACAGTCTTTTCTGATGGGATAAGTTCCAAGTGGTGGTATGAGGGAGGGAAATTACTAGCCAGGTCTGTAAAAAAAAGGTATTCAGGGTTCCATTCTGCTCTCAGTGATAAGATGGTGGAAGAAGTCATTCAAAGGTATGGCATCAGCAATGTGCAGATGACAGTATGTCTCCCCCTTTCACATGAGTTCAGAGAACAGTGAAAGTTCTTCACCACCATCTGGATGCAGCAAAAGATTGGACAGGGAAAGCAAGAAAATTACCAATCAGCAGAAAAGATGATCTGAGAATAGGAGTACAGTTTTGAAAAGGTTGCACTCCTCTTGAAGGACTAAACTCACAATCTGGGAGTGCTTTGCTCCTGGCTGCTGATATGTGGCCAGAAATGCTTAACTTAAGTTCCTGGGGAGAACTGATCTGGTTACTGTCCTATGTAACTTACTTCAAAACTAGATCACTGCTACATACCTTTTATAGGGCCACCCTCAAACACCCTTCAACTTGTGAGGAATTCTGCAGTATAAATGTTTAATTGAGACAAATATTAAAGTGTATGCAACCTGCTAGTCGCACTTTGGCTAATTTGATTCCCAGATTGAATCACCAGCCTAATGTAATACTTATTATGTTTAAATCCAGAAGTGAGTAAGGGTCTTTAAAGGACCCACAATTCCCTAGATAATCATGCCCAGATCAGAGATCCTGCTCACTATCCAAATAGTGATTAAAATAAAGTTGGTGGATATCAAATTTAAAGAATTCTCCAAGGTGGTATGCCAGCAGTGGCATTCACCACTTCAAGAAACTGAGCCCACTTGTTAACCTTCCAACATTTGATAAGAATGATTCAGTGTTGTAGGGCTTTTAAACTACAAATGAACTGCTTTCTGTTGTGTTGTACGGATCTTTTATCTTTTACTGTTTCTGATTATTGATCATTGTTTTAATCGAGGTGGTGTTAGCCACCTTCAGGATTCCTTAAGTAGAACAGAAACTGTAGAATAAAACATTTCAACATAACCAACCAGAAGTGTCTAAATACAGCCAATTCAAACATTTTTGGAACTCAGAGGAAACTGCCCATTCCAGGATGAAAAATGAGGTGAAACACAGGCTCCCATGCACAGATGAAAAGAAAAATTGAGTCAAGAAAATTACTCAGTTGTTGTGAGGTTGTGTACAGCAAGTAAATCCAGTGTTAACAGAGGTTGCCAAACGCGGGGTACCAAGATATCTGGACTACAACTCCCAGAAGCCCCACTGCTGGCTGTTCTGGCTAATACCTTAGGAGCTGAGAGTCAAGACATCTGCGGCCCCAAGCCAAGGAGGAACCAGGACATGCAAGGAGTCAGAAGAACTCTAGATGAACGAGGCTGAAGTCCCGACTCCTCCGCAAAGGGTTCAGGCGACCCTGCACCAGCCTTGCTCTCTCCGCCTCAGTTCCTCACCTGTAAAAGGAGACCACCCCTGCTTTGCCTCAGACTCGTTCCCCAGTAGTAGTAGCAAGGCATTCTGGAGACTGAGGACCGCCGCGAAGGGGGACGTTTGGAGTCGTCCCTCACTTCTAACCCTCTGATCTCCAGCTGCCTTTCCTCCCCCGGGTGGGAAAGAAGGCCGAAGTGGGCCCTGACAGGGGAGGGGGGCTGCCTCTTTTTCAGGCCTCTGGGCCGAGTGCCTTGCAGAAAAAAGAAGCAAGCCAGCGACAGGCCCGCCTCGGCGGGGTTAGCCTTACCCTTCTTTGGCACAGACCCCTCCTCCGTCTCCGGCCGCCGCCGCCGCCACCTCCTCCAACCGGCAAGGCGG